CCTCTCCTCTCCTCTCCTCTCCTCTCCCCCCCTCTTCTCTTCTCTCCTCTCCTCTCCTTCTGCCATCAAAGAGCTCTACCACAGCTATTTCCTCTTTTCTCCTGAAGGGAAATCAAGGCATTGAAAATATCACACATTATGTTTGTGTTCGACGTTTACACTGGTGAGTTCACTGTTTGGAGTGATACTCAATGTGGACATATTTTACCCTCCACTCACCTTAAATTTGGCTCTTACCGCCAAGGGACTCTAGTATTTTCACTTTTCTCCTTGGGGAGGGGGGGATGTCAGCTACTCCGACTCTGCATTAAAAAACTACATTTGTGTTATGTTTTTACATTGGTCAGTATCGTTCAGTTCACATTGTGGTTTGGTACCCTCAGTGTGGACAGCAGGACCTGGATACAGGTCACCCTTACTGCAGTCATGTAGATCTAGCATTAGTGGATCTGTGCTTGCCCACTGCACCCCATACCTCTTGTAAATAAACAGCATAGCGATGAAGAGGGTTTTTCACACGCCCCGCAGATCCAGGGGAGGGTATTGATGCTCTTTTTCATTACTCCAGAGCGGTGTGGTAAAGGACGATACCTCTACAACTCAAGGGCTTAGACTTATATGGAGCAGATTGTAGAGATTTGCATTTTTATTTTCTCACCTGAGCTGAACTGTGTAATCATTCCCTCCCCCTCGGTGTGCACCCCCCACAGGCTCAGCCTCAACCCCTCACACTGCGGACGTGACCCCATATCGATTGACTCATGCTTTTGGGGGATCGTGGGGTCAATATAGTGCACATTCTGGTCATGAACTTGTGGCCACCTGGCTGGCCAGTAGAGGCCGCTAGAGAGCATCAGGTCTGATGAGTTCCACTGGGGTGTCCTTTGTCTTCTCACAGTGAGAGTGAGCCATTTGTGACCTCATCATTATGAGCCTCTGGGCATGGCTGGTGATGGAACAGTTAGGAGTCAAACTCGCAGGCCTTGGGCACACAGCTGCACCACAAATTGGCGCATTCACTCCTCTGCGCTCAGCACAAAGACCACTGGCAGTTCTGGTTTGACAGATTTTAACATGCTTTTTGAAAAAACTAATTTCAGGTGTTCAATCTATTGTATGGGGAAAAGAGACAATGTTCTCGTTTTTCATTTCCACAGAGGGTTGGGCCAGGCCATTTGTTGATGCATTTTAGCAGGGCACCTCTGCACGGTTGTGTGATTAGGAAAACCTACATTTTTAAATGATCACTTTCACTAATTACCCAGAACAAAACCATTCATTTCCTTAAAACGAGAAGACTTAAATGCATTTCAAATTAAGTTACTATTTCTGACCTAAACTTGGTTTGTAATTACATACAATTTCATTGCTGTCAACTCAGCTGCAATTAACTTGTATTTCAGTATGGCAGCAGTAATGAGTAAAGACAAAATACATGTCAAAAGTGTACACAGAATGGCTCAGATAAGCTGCAGGGATAATCACTTAATCTGCTTTGGTTTATTAGAATCTGCTCAAGCGAGCTTTCACACAGAAGACTGTAAATAGCATTCACTTATTCAACAACTAGAAAAACAACAAAAACAACAGCAACAACTACAACTACACTGCACCACAGAAAATACATTAGCAAGTGCTGCTCTGGAATGTGATGTAGACTTTGTGTGTAGGAGTGGAGTGAGGAGCAGTTAACTACTGACCACTCTGAAACATAAAAAAGGACAGGTATGGGCTATTTGAAAAATTAATGGAAACACAAATAATAATTGTGTACGCTGCCAAGCTAGTCTTGTGTGCCAGGTTCTACCTCTACACCATAAGCCTGGCAAAAGCAGCACTGAGTTTAGATTTATTTGCTAGTGATGGGGGAGTGAAGTGACTCAGAGATGTGGACCAATGACTGCACTGCTTGTGGAGAGAAAAATATATTTGATTGGTTCAGACATGATGTTGTTCGTTCAGACATCAGTGGTTGACATCTGAGTATAGCTCCCCTCTAATGGGGTTGATGAATCCACAGCAGGTTCAGGGGGGTATGGCTGGGGGCAAATATAGGTAAAGAAGCTGAACTGAGGTGGTAGTGTTGTGAAATGGATTAGAAGCTGGTCTTGTAACTCGGATGTTGCAGGATCAAGCAAGTAAGGTACTTCACCTGATAGCCCCAGTAAGTATGCGGCTGTGTAAGTGGATATTGTGTAATGGGTATAACTGTAAGTGTCCCTGAATGTCAGCCTCTGTTAACTGCCTAATAATGTAAGAGTGAAATACCCACTGAGAGTGTGTGAGAGTGTGTGAGCTGGCAGGTACATCCCTGGTGTGGAGATACCTGCTGCAGTGAGGGCTGCACCCAAAAGGCGAGGGGAGAGGTTTGGCTGTCTGGGTCCTGGGAGCGCCCCCAGCCCCCACCCCCCCCTTCTAGGTGAGGTAGGTACAAGGCCAGATATACTGAAAAAAAAACACATGCACACAGCATCACTGGGGCACAGTCACCAGTTTTAGTATCTGGCAGAGACTATGTTGTTCTTTCCCCCATCTGCAAATAATTTCTGGTTTCCAGAACATTCTGGAAAGTTAAAGTTAAGGTATATGTTCCCTAGGCAAATATTTGACCACTTTTCTGGATGTCACTTGAGCATTATTTTCCCAGAATGTTTTTCTGTGACTTTGACAGAACTTTTTTAGAGTAACGCTCTGAATGTTGTAACACTCTTTGGGGGTACATTTGTGATGTAGTAGACACTGGCAGACTTTCAGAGCAAGGAAAGCTGTATGGATATTTTAAACACCTATCACGTATATAAGCTTCAAAATATGACCCTGTCTGCATATTTAGATTTCATAAAACCTCCACTCAAGTCATCCTCCTGAGGGAAAAAAAGCAAGCTGACTCACAGACATTGTATATTCTAGACACAAGCAAACACTTACATAATGCCGTGTCCAATGTAAAAACACCCCGATACTCTCATTACATCTGTCAAAAAAATCACTCATGCATTATTTAGAGTGATTAGCTGGTGAGATTAGATTTCAGCGTTAGTGCTGTGTTCCATAACTGAGGTTGAGGGTGTAGAGGAGTGTTTCGGATGGACACAGAGAGCAGCCTCCCACTCAGGGTTTGCTGAACACGGACCCCTCTGTGTGCTTTCTGTGTACTGATGGGCCATTTGCTTTCAGATGTGCCTTCATCACAGGACAAAAAAGTAGCCTACCAAAAAAAAAAAAAACATAGTAATTTAAAAAGCATATGCTTTCATGTTCACAGCAGGTGAAATGTATTCATGCTCTTGTATGCTCGCCTCACTTAAATAATCGTGTTTTTTTAGGAAAGCAAAGCTAAAATGTGAATATAAAGCCGCTAATATGAATTTCAGCCATTGTTTATTCAGCGTTCTGCAGTTCTCCCATTTAGCACGTCTGGTGAAGTAAATGAACAAATATTACGGTGGTATTCAGGTTTGCTTAGTGTTCAACATTATTAGAGATAGCAACAGGGCTAACACGCCACAGTTCCCATGCACTGTTTTCACAGGTAGCCTGCTGTTTATGGTGGCATGAAAGCTCATTCACGCAACACTAATACATTCATTTTCATGACATCATAAATAGGTGGAGCTACAATTGCTTGTAAGTCACCTATTAAGTTTAATCAGTCAAAACATTTCTGTCTTTAAAACAAAATAAAGTAAAATAAAGTTTTACTTTTGTAATTGTAACAATACCTCACTATAATACAAGTAATGTTGAATCTCAGTGTGAGGGTTATGAAGTCCTTTTACAAGAACCCTCATTCAGGTGGCCATCTTTTGACTGACGTCATCTTACTCGTGGCTCAAGAAGCAAGGATAGAAGTGAAAAAGAGAGGGAGCGAGCAGGAGGGAAGGAGGGAAGGATCAGACCGCAGTGTTGCAGAGTGTGTCTCCTCAGGTACTCTCACCCTCCCCAATCCACGATCGTTAGGCCCGGCTAGTGGAGGCGTCTGGGAGGGTGGGGGTGGGGGATGAAATTGCTGGAAATTTGGTGGCCTGATGTGGCATCAAACCTGCCCAATTACCTGTGTCCCCATCTGTCCCGCTGCCCAAACTGCGGCCTCTCAGCGCTAATAAACCGCTGGCCCCGTGACTGCTGGAAGCACAACTAATTTGGAGTTAGCCGCGGGGCTAATAAGTCATGTTTCCCATGTGCTGTGCGTGTGTGTGTGTGTGGGGGGGGGGGGTTACTGGTATCACAGGCACACTCAAAAGGATGGTTTCGGTAAAAAAGGGACAGCTGTCAGTCAGTGCTCCTAGATTGTGAGTAAGGTCTAATAAGGTAAAGGAGTGCTATCGCCAGTGTTTTCTGTGCACTAACAAGATACACATACAGTATGTGTTTTTCTTAATAATGGTTGCTATGGACCCTGTTAGCGTGGCGATACACCCTAACCCTAACCCAATCAAAAATGGTTCACTCTCCACACAGCCAATGCAGTCACTGGTCCAAATAATTGAGTCACTGATACTGTATAGTAGCTCTACCCATTTTTGGCTTATTGAAACTTCATTCCCATCGCTAGTTAATGCACAGGTGAAGTGTTTCTCTTCACAGAGAACCCACAGGGCATGACAGTAAGGGTCATGTGGTTTGCTTGTACTGTCTTCCTGTGATGGCATTCATTTTTTGCATTTGCAGGGAAATAAGTCTGTTATACTAGATGCTGCTTTGTTTATGTTAACATTGAGCCAAGTAATTTCATAGTAATAATTTAGCCTGCAGGTTACTGTCATTTCAAAACAGACATCAGTTTTCACCAATATTCTTATATTTGAAGCACAAATAGCCTGTCACACAATTGCATATTTTAGTTAGTAACATGCTTGGTTGAAGGTTGTCAACCTTTGTAACTGTTTTTTATTTGTGATTTTTTTCTTCAGTGGTGATGGTTAGGATGCTGGGCTTGTAACTCAGAGGTTGCAGGTTCAAATCCCAGGAGTGGCTCTGCCGTTGTACCCTTGAGCGCGATGCTGAACCTGACTCGTCCCAGTAAATATCCAGCTATATAAATGGACAGAGAGTACGATGCGTAAAGGTGCTGTGTAAGCTGAATGGGGCCATTTGCTAAATGCAATATAAAAGGAAGAGGTCAGAAAATTGACTTCCGTGGCCAAAATAGTCTTACTATCACTGACGTGTCCATTTATGGACTTGGATCGTTGTGCAGCACCATTTTAAAGCTACAGGATGTGATATAGAGCTGAATAAAAAAAAAAAACCACCAGGACTCGTCAAATTGACCCTAAATAATTTAACTGCTGAGTTTGTTTGAAATTATAAGAATCTTATTTTTACTCAGCCCATTGTTTAATAATGATGCCATAAGGCTCATTATTTTAATAATTGAAAGGTATTAAGAGTGAGTGTGTTTATCCACAGAAGGCATGGACCATATGTGTGTGAGGAAATAAAACACGGTGTCTGTCTGCACTCGGGTTTCCCCCCAGGGTATCTGACTTTTGCTGAAATCTGTTCATTTCGTTATTATTAGCTGCACTCACTGACTTACCTGATGCGCAGGTAAATAAAAAAACAAAATCACTGCTGTTGGTATTATTTGTCATGACTTCGGTAGCAGAACACAAGATGTTCTTGGATAATGCAGACTAGGTGCAACCTTTGCGTTGGTCCGAGATCACGTTTGGTTGGGAAGCAGGCGTGAGCCTTGCCTCTAGATACCCATGTCCCGGCCCTGCCATTACCGGCTACAGCTGGAGGAGGTCCATATTGGGGAGGCATAACTGGGCCAGCCTCACTGGAGAAAGGGAGCGGTTTAGCTTGCTAAAGTTAGTTAGAGTCATCGTTTTCCAGTGTGGAAAGGGAGCCGTTTAGCTGGTTAAAGTTAGTTAGAGTCATCGTTTTCCAGTGTGGAAAGGGAGCCGTTTAGCTGGTTAAAGTTAGTTAGAGTCATCGTTCTCCAGTGTGGAAAGGGAGCGGTTTAGCTGGTTAAAGTTAGTTAGAGTCATCGTTCTCCAGTGTGGAAAGGGAGCGGTTTAGCTGGTTAAAGTTAGTTAGAGTCATCGTTCTCCAGTGTGGAAAGGGAGCGGTTTAGCTGGTTAAAGTTAGAGTCATCGTTCTCCAGTGTGGAAAGGGAGCCGTTTAGCTGGTTAAAGTTAGTTAGAGTCATCGTTCTCCAGTGTGGAAAGGGAGCCGTTTAGCTGGTTAAAGTTAGTTAGAGTCATCGTTCTCCAGTGTGGAAAGGGAGCCGTTTAGCTGGTTAAAGTTAGTTAGAGTCATCGTTCTCCAGTGTGGAAAGGGAGCCGTTTAGCTGGTTAAAGTTAGTTAGAGTCATCGTTCTCCAGTGTGGAAAGGGAGCGGTTTAGCTGGTTAAAGTTAGTTAGAGTCATCGTTCTCCAGTGTGGAAAGGGAGTGGTTTAGCTGGTTAAAGTTAGTCAGAGTCATCGTTCTCCAGTGTGGAAAGGGAGCCGTTTAGCTGGTTAAAGTTAGTTAGAGTCATCGTTCTCCAGTGTGGAAAGGGAGTGGTTTAGCTGGTTAAAGTTAGTTAGAGCCATCGTTCTTTAACTGGTTAAAGTTAGTTAGAGTCATCGTTCTTTAGCTGGTTAAAGTTAGTTAATCGTTGCATTGTGGGAAGAAGTGAAGGTTTGTCGTCACATAAAACAGAAGAGTTACGCTAATGCCTGCCTCCTTCTGAAGTCGACAGGAGAGGGTTGCTGTGTTAGGCTCAGCAGTTCGGCTTACTTAGGGCTGGGAAAAATGGGAGAAAAATGCTGAAAAAAAGAACTTTTACACCAGTTGATGGAAAGCAGCTGGTGTCAAGCTGGTTTTCCATCTGGTCCGAGCATATATATACTACAGGGCTGTTAAACTCCAGGTTTGGAGGGCTGCAGTGTCTGCAGGAGATGACTCCACCCACTCACTGCACCACCCGATCCCATTAATTTGCTCACTTCCCGGAGCAGGAAGGTAAATTAATTTGTGAAATCTGGTGCTGTTTCATTGGTTGGCTGGAACAAAAACCTGCAGACACTGTGGCCCTCCAGGACTGGAGTTAAACCTGCAGACACTGTGGCCCTCCGGGACTGGAGTTAAACCTGCAGACACTGTGGCCCTCCAGGACTGGAGTTAAACCTGCAGACACTGCGGCCCTCCAGGACTGGAGTTAAACCTGCAGACACTGTGACCCTCCAGGACTGGAGTTAAACCTGCAGACACTGTGGCCCTCCAGGACTGGAGTTAAACCTGCAGACACTGCGGCCCTCCAGGACTGGAGTTAAACCTGCAGACACTGTGACCCTCCAGGACTGGAGTTAAACCTGCAGACACTGCGGCCCTCCAGGACTGGAGTTAAACCTGCAGACACTGCGGCCCTCCAGGACTGGAGTTAAACCTGCAGACACTGTCCCCTCCAGGACTGGAGTTAAACCTGCAGACACTGCGGCCCTCCAGGACTGGATCAGGTAGATCAGGTAAACTACACCAGCGGTCCTCTATAGTGGTGTGGAAGAGCCACAGGGTCTAGCGATTGTGATTTATAGACAGCAGTAGTAGTTGCATGACAGTTTGTTTTCTCTTCCTCTTTCTCTTTTCAGAGAGCATTGGTTTTCGAGTATGTCAGGTTATCTAGAGAATGATGCTTTTTTGTGGTCTGCAAATATGAAATAATCAATCATGAGCGAATGCAAAATTGACATATGAAAAGCTTAGCATCTGACACTGGGGACTGTGCTAGATTAAAAATGACAGTATTTGTTAAATATTTTGACATCCATCATCCTCCTTCAAAAGCGCTCATAATTTAGATTTTTAAGGGTAGGTGAGTATCCATTTTCTGTCAGGCCTGACAGTTTCATGTCACAAGAAATAGTGTAACAGAGAGTTTGGAGAAAATCAGATCACAGCCTTATTTGCTTCATCTCCCATTTTCTTTTGTCTTTCATACTGCAGAAGAAACATGGGAAAAAAACGTATGGATATTTGACAAAGCCACTATTGTGCATCAGACTTGTTGTGCTGATGTGTTTTATAAATAACGTATCTTCAATTGGTACATTTTCCATAGCTGTGATATGATACCATGCCAGGCAATTCTGTACTATTACTTGTGTCCAAACACAAGTAGCTTTTACAGGGAATGTGATGGTGGTTTACACACACACACACACACACACACACACACACACAATGTGGTCTGCTACACAATGTGCCATGAATGTTAAAATAGGATGCGTACTTTTTTATTATTATTATTATTCGTAGTAGTAGTACTCCTACTAGTAGTAGTTGTTGTAGCTGTGGTAGTGGTGGTAGTGATTTTATTGTTCTTATTTTATTTTATATTGTTCTTAATTCTTTTTTTTGCTGTTTTGTTGTTGTTATCACTATTATTTTAGTTTTCCTGGTTTTGGTTGACTTTGCTGCAGTCATACTGTGATAGATTAGTTTTCCAGCCTAATAGTTTTCAGATGTTGTGCTGTGATGCTGACTGAAGGAACGGAAGAAGGAGGGATAAAGGAGTGAGTGGGGGAGAGAGGGGGAAGAGAGGCATTCCTTGGTTTCTAACTGTGCCTCTTCATGGTGGGAATGGACCAGTCCACATTGTTATATTTGACGGAACACAGGCTTAGACCTCGCCTTTTCCACAGGCAGTTTGGGAGTTAACCCTCTGCAAGCTGGGTTTAATGTCTGGGCCAGGAAGTCCGAGGCCAATCCGATGGACACATTTTGATTCTGGACTCGATCATGACGGGCTTCCATCCACAGCATGGAGGTCCAGGTGTAAGATCTGGTGGCCAGTTTGTCTCGCTTTGTAGTCTCTGTCTTGTGCGCTTAATTGAGTCTCTCTTTTGTTATTTTTTTTTTTTTTAATGTTGCAGCGTTGCTGGATTCTCACTCGGGCGCGTTCAGCCGGACCGCAATTGTCCTGCATATGCTCACTAATGGTATCCGATTCACAGCATCCTGCAATCTGCTGATCCTGATGAATTATCTTATTTAAAATATTCCACCGTAACAAAACATCGCTCTCCAGAGCCGCTTTAATGAATAAATCCTCTTTCTTAGCAAACAAGGAAAAAAAGGAGGAAATAAAATAATTATTTGTAAAACATAGCCCCCCACCGTTCCTCTCTCCACAGAACGGCAGTTTGACAGCAATCAGAAATGTCTCTGCAGCTCCTACATGTCCCTAAGAGACCATACGACAAATAGGAGATAGCAAATACTTTTACCGTGCCAAGAGCTGAAGTCATCTATGCAGGCTGCATGTTTTTATTTTATGATTCTTACCCTCAGTTCTAAACGCTTTTCACGCCATCTGGGAATGGTGCTGATTTTAGGTTTTGATTCACTCCCCCCATCCTTCCCCGAGGTCAAACTCAGTCCAACCCAAAAACCAGAAATAATTCTGAGACGGGTCCAAAATTACCACATTGTTTGCTTGCCTGTGTTGATGCTGGATGGGACGATAACCCCCTTTGGGTTTATCACATTTCTGAGATTATCCCCCCCCCCCCCCCCCCCCCCCCCCGCTCCCCCCAACCCCCTAAGCATCATGGATTAGTTCCTCCGGTTTGTGCAACACAAATCATCTCAAAGAACGTAACATCCTGCTAAATGCTCCAAATCCTCTGGAGAATGTAGCCTAGAATGAGGCGATGTTTTCCTTTCAGAGTTCTGGTCTTCCCCAATGGCAGAATTAAATAGTTATTGATTTTTTATGGTTCTATGACTGGCTCAGCCATTTTTATTTTGCAGCCCTTTATTATAAAACTATATTAACGTACTTTTGCCCTGAGCAGACAGCATAATACAATTATATTTAATTAGTGACTGAAATAATTATATTTCTTTAGATGTGCTTTTTTTTATGAAATGATTTTATTTGTCTGATGGAAGATCTGTCATCTAATTACCTTCTAATCTGAGGAGCTATCCAATCACTATGCTTATACTGCAGGGCTTTGCGTTTTAGGAACCAGTGT